GGCTTATTTCATTTAGCATAATGTCCTTAAGTTTCATTCATGTTATAGCACGTTTCCTGTCTTTTTAAGGCTAAGTAATATACCACTGTATGTATATATTACATTTTGTTTATCTATGCATCTGTGGATGTACGCTTGCTTTCTTCTACCATTTATCTACTGTGAATGAGGTTACTATGAACAGGCATGTAAATGAGTTGGTTTTAGTTTTATTTTAAAAACTCTGAAAACCCTAAGCAATTCAAAATGCCTAAACGTAAATGTTTGTTCTCAGAAAATCTAAATTAGCCAAATTAGAAGTTAGAAAGCAAATGGAAAAGTGGTAACTGACCTAACAGACTATGTGAAGACTGATTTTAAATTGACAATGGGGAAAACTGAGAAACATTCTGATTTGTGCCCCAGAACCCCAAATGGCTCCGAAATTGTTGGCACCAAATATATCTAGAAGTAAGGGGGAAGATGGAGCCATAAACAGAAGGAATAGATAAAAGTCTATTTAACAGGTAGATTGATGTTAAGTGAAATAAGCCAGGCACAGAAAGAGAAATACCACACTTTCTCACTCTCATGTGGGAGCTAAAAAAGAGAATAAAACAAAAATAAACAAATAAATAATAAGTTGAACTGTAAAATGGAGAGAAAAGAACTGTGGTGGGGAGAGAGGGGAGGGGATGGTGTGAGGCTGGGTAATGGACACAAAATTACAGCTAGATAGGAAAGATAAGTCCTACTGGTGTACAGTCAACCCAGGAATCTATAATTAACAACGATTTACTGCATTTTACCAAATGACTAGAAGAGAGATTAAATGTGCACATCACAAAGTAATTATTGGGTTTTGCAAGGACAAAAATGCTGATTGCCCTGAAAGGTCACCACACATAGCATACATGTATTAAGGTATAACTCTGTACCCCATACATAAATACACGCAATCAATATGTTGCAACAAAAAGTTTAAAAAAAAAAAAAAAAACAGGTAGACTGACACCCTCTTACGTCCCCTCCTGTATTCTACATAGCCAGGTCCCTCCTTCACCTCAAGAGATTGGAAGATTATGCTGTTGAGAAAGGAAAACAAGGTTTCTGGACTAGGAAATACAAAATACAATTGAGGGCTAGAGTACAAACACTATTAAAATCAAGGAGACTAAATCCATTTACCATATGTTATGACTTTTTGTGTGGATTTTTTCTTTTTTGGCATGTTCAGTACTGCTGGTCTCTGACAGTAAAACACTTTTTCTCTACATAGCATATTGTAATTCCAAAGAATTGATATTTTAAAAAGTTAATATAAATTGAAAAAAGAAGCAGTACTAGGCTAGATATGTGCTCCTCCCTGTCATTACAATTCCTAATTTATAATCAAAAATACTTGTATAGAATAAAATCTTTTACTATAAACCACTGAGTGACATTCCTAAAAATACCTCTGTATTTCAAGACAATAGTCAGAGGTAGTAACAAGAGAGACTCCTCAAGGAAGCTTCAAATTGTATATTTCAATTCCTTTATAAACCAGTATACTACTGAAATATAAAGAAACCATAAGAGTTTATACGAAGATCATCAAGGCTGATGTCACTTAATCTGTTTCATGTGCTGAAACAATTCACCTTCATTATGGAGCATAGTACCTTAAATTCTTGATAAGCTAAATAAACACAATGTACCTAATTTCAAATCAGTCCCATGAACACACCTTTAATATAGTTTGACATACTTTTATGTGTTATATTAAGAGCAAATAATTTGACAACAGCTTAAACAAGATTAATTTTGCTCAACTCAAAAAAAAAAGTACAAAATGAATGATTAGACCCCTAAATTATTGGTTTCCTTGCCCCAGTGAACATCTGGAGTGTCCCTATATACACAAAAATCGTTAAACTATTAGTTGCATAAAAAAAAAAAAAAAAACAACGTAGGGCCGGCCTGTGGCTCACTTGGGAGAGTGTGGTGCTGGTAACACCAAGGCCACGGGTTCAGATCCCTGTAGAGGGATGGCCGGTTAGCTCACTTGGGAAAGCATGGTGCTGACAACACCAAGTCAAGGGTTAAGATCCCCTTACCAGTCATCTTTAAAAAAAATAAAATAAAAATGTAGACTTTTCCATAACAAAAAGTGTAACATATGTTACTAGCTTCAGTTACTACTAGATTCAACCATCATTCATTTACCAAATACTTCTGAGCAGCTACCGTGAGCCTGGCACTATGCTAGGCAATGGGGATACAATGAACAAAAAAGGTAATACCTTTCTTTTATTTTCATGGGACTTGCATTCTGCTGTGGGAAACAGACAAAACAAACACACAAAAAACAAAATAATTATAAATGCAGCAAATGCTATCAAGGAAACAAGGCTTTGCCACAGATTACAGTCTTTGAAAGCTGAATTGTGGAATTCTAATAGACCTAAAAATAAATAATTCATGAAGAATTACATCAAGATGACATGGATTCTACAGACCTTTGCTAATGCATAAGAAACTACAGACACTGACCATGAAAACAGAGATCAATCTTTCATTGCCAAAGATATCGGATGGCATTACACAGCAACATAGTAGCCTCAAAAAATAATTAACATAACAGTTCCACACAGTGAAAAGCATGTATAAAACAATCCCCCAAAAACATCTAATTGGAGCCTAAGGAGACAAGACAACTGATAATGTGGCATCCTGAAATCGAATGCTGAAACAGAAAAAGGAAATTAGGTAAAAACTAAGGAAATTTGAGTAAACTACGAACTTTAGTTAATATTAATGTACCAATGTTGGATTCAGCAACTGTAATAAATGTACCGTACCTATTTAACATGTTAATAATGGCGGAAATTGGGTACTGAGGTATATGAGAACTTCCGCAGTATCTCTTCAATTTTTCTGTAAATCTAAAAATGTTCTAAAAAATAAAATAAATTTTTTAATAAAAATCTAACAAGGCTTCAGGAATTACCTGGGGGGAGGGAGAGTCAGTAAAGGCTTAAAGAAAGTAAGACATGAGAAGCCATAAAACTCTGCCACGTGAATAATCAAAAAATTCAAAGGAAACCTGCAGAAACCTAAGTTAAGATCTCTATTCACGCTAAAATCCTCCTAGACAGAGAGATTAATGGGTGTTTCATGCAAACTAAATAGCTCTGCAGGCAACATAAGGCAGGCGATAACATCCCCAGAGTGCACAATAAGCACTTTAGATCCTATTTATCGATAATAGCCAATAAGCTACATTTTATGTATGGCACTGTCCTGAAATTGCCACATAACAGCCAGACCAGGATCAACTTCACAGGTTCTACCAAGCTACTCACCTAAGAAAATAAGCTTATACATGTTTACTTCAGAAAAATCCATAAGCAAAGAGGAGGGGAATTGTATTTTTTCTGCCTGGTAAGGGAGGAGGGAAGATAATTTTCCTATGAAAGGAGAAAAATTATTCCCCAGGTCCAACTGGAGGCAATTTTGCAACTAGTATTAACTTACTGTAATATCACTCGACTTAGTATGAACAACTCAAGACAGTAATAAATGCTATGAATTTATATCAGCTAAATGTCTTCCAGTCAAAACAACTAATGTTTTCTATAACCTCTCCTAAGAGACCTAGTAGGTACCCAATGTTTGATGACTTGGAGCTAATTTTCTATGTCTGAATTTTAAAGACGGTCATATAAAGCGTGGGAAAAACAAAGGAGAATCATAATCTCTGAACTGTCGAGTTACGAGTTTGCATAATACAGCAAAAAACTGGAATAATTACTTCTTGTAGAAGAAGTACCGTTAGAGACAACATCACAAAATTAGGATCTTGTATCTAACACAAAGCACAGAGACAGAAGAACCTGACCAAGTAAATGACATAACAATTTCATTCGTCAGACAGTATGGAATATTAAGCATAAAATAGTCATTTGGCCCAAATGGTATTTAAATCTAATTTAGATAACTAGATGATGAATTTATTACTACTCTACTCCATCACCCAAAAGAAATCCTACAAAACAAAGATGTTCGTTATTCTAAGCTTTCTCCCACATGAATCCTAAATATATAACTGGAATATACTCAAGAAGAAACGAATAAGTAACATATCCCCAGTAATTCCTGTTTGCACCCCCATGAAAATCAGACACTGCTTCATGTTGAAACGAGAAAAGGGGGAGGTGAAATGTGAAAAATTCCAAGTAAAATGATCATGACATAGCACCTAGCAGAGATCGAAAAAGCATCAGCACTGCCAAAAGAATCGTCAGTGATGAAAGTCAAGATACGAAAAAGGTTTTCCGAAAAGACAGCCCAACCCAAGGAGCTAAAATCGCCACCGCCGACGCCACTCCTCTCACCTCCACCACCCATTCTCAAGTCACCCCCAATTCATACATATTTCTTCAATAACCCAGATTTACTCCCCAGACAGGTGAAAATCATCCAAGAATTTTTCCTACAACCACCGTTTCCCACCTTCCATGAGATTCGCACTTCTCATGGTCAAGTCTCTGGGGAAAACAACGCCCAAATCCCACCCTCTTTGCCCAAGGTTGAAAAGAGCCCAGTGCCAGGAGTGGGGCTTTCCGGAGTGGGCCTCACAGAGATGACGAACCGGGAAAAGAGCAAAGAATAAGGGTGGAGCTCAAGAAAGAGGGCTGAGGTAAGGGAGACGACGGAGACCGGAGGAAGAAAGGGATGGACAGGAGGCTGGGCGGGGTGAGGACTGGGCAAGGGAGGGCAGTGCGACGGGAGAGGGCCAGGCTGCGGGGACGGAAGAGTCGGGGACCGAAGGGCCAGGAGACTAGAGTAAAAAATCCGACCAACGGATCTAGACAAGGAGCCGGTGGCAAGGAGGGGTCGCACAACACGGGGCTGGGGTGGGACGGAACGCTGACGCGAAGCCAGCAGCGAGCCTCCGCGGACTGAAGAGCCGCAACGGGGGCGGTGCGGGAGGCCTCCGCGGCCAGCTGCCAGGAGTGGGGGAGCCGTGCACTCACCGCTCTGCTCCCCCAGAAACACCAGCTTGAATTTCCTCAGCGGAGAGCCTCCGCGGACTGAAGAGCCGCAACGGGGGCGGTGCGGGAGGCCTCCGCGGCCAGCTGCCAGGAGTGGGGGAGCCGTGCACTCACCGCTCTGCTCCCCCAGAAACACCAGCTTGAATTTCCTCAGCGGAGAGCCTCCGCGGACTGAAGAGCCGCAACGGGGGCGGTGCGGGAGGCCTCCGCGGCCAGCTGCCAGGAGTGGGGGAGCCGTGCACTCACCGCTCTGCTCCCCCAGAAACACCAGCTTGAATTTCCTCAGCGGAGAGCCTCCGCGGACTGAAGAGCCGCAACGGGGGCGGTGCGGGAGGCCTCCGCGGCCAGCTGCCAGGAGTGGGGGAGCCGTGCACTCACCGCTCTGCTCCCCCAGAAACACCAGCTTGAATTTCCTCAGCGGAACACGCAGCACCCCAGCTCCCACAGCTGCCGCCGCCGCAGCCCAACCTGCTGAGTGCGCGAGCCTCTGGCGCGCCGCGGGGCGAGCCCAGGCGCGAGACTGCCGCCCCGCCAGCCGCTGGCGTGCGTGCGTGCGTGCGTGCGCGCCACCGCTTTCCTGGTTCAGCCCTCTCTCCTGGCTTTTGCGGCACAACGGTGACCAGAGCAGGTTGGGTTTCGGCTTGCGTCGGGAGAAGCGAGGAGGAGGCGGGGCAGAGCTAGGGGTAGGTGAGGGGGTAGAAAATGGAGCACTTATGTCACTTACGTGTTGAGCCAATCGGAAGGGGCCAAGGGCGGACTGCGACGAGAGTGATGTGGCGGCGCGAGAGCGCGCGCGGCCCTCGAGCGGTGGAGAGCGGAGCACCGTGGCAGCCATAGGAAGCGCGGCGCGTCTCAGCCGGAGGGGGAAAGTGGGGCGGGGCGGAGGTGGGGCTGGGACAGAGGTGGAATGACCCCAGCAAAGTGCGGGTGGGGTCGGAAAGCCCTAAAGTGTGATAGGTGTCTCTCTCCTGATCCCTCAGCCCTGCTTCACATTACTCACACCCATCTTTCACTCCTGCACGCACCGTATTTTCTCCATTTTCTTATGAGAATTCCTCTCACCGCATCTTACCTTTTACGTTCTTCTTTGCTCCCAAGAGGTTCGTAACTGCCAGCAGCAGGACCTCCCCATTTTGCAGATGAGGAAACTGAAGTCCAGAGGGAGGAAATGACTTGTAAAATCGTCAGAGCCACAAAGTGGAACGCAGATTTTCTCATTCCTCCCCCCGCCCCCCGAACCTCTGCAACCTGCTTATTGATAAGCCCATTCACTTCCCTGGTCTAACCTGGCTTGGTCTTCTCTTAAACAGGGCTTGTTCCTCAGATGTTGTAAGCTCTAGATTACGCCCACCTTCTACCTTGCTAAAAAAGGATTTAGACATCGTGTAAATCAAACCCCTCATTTCACATATGATACTAAGGACCCACATAGAAAACAGCTTTGCAGAAGGTCACATAACAAATTAGAAGGAAAGCCTGAACTAGAGCCCAAATCTGGGGAAGGGGATTAAAGATCACCCTTTCCTCCTAACACAGCTAAAGCAGGTCTTCTGAATGTGCTATGGGTGGACCTCCTTTATATTAGCTGTCTGAAACTTGTGCATTTTTTCTGTGGAGACGGTCCATAGCCTTCATAAGAGTTTCATCCTGGTTCATAATCCAAATAAATGAAGGTTAATGGCACAGCCAAGAGGAACCTAAGGACACATGACAACTAAATGTCATGTGGACAACTAACATAACATGTTAACTAATACAATGCTAAGTAACATGACAAGTAACAGGACAACTGAATATAAGTTTTAAGCTCAATGGTATCCAGGAACAGAAAAAGGACATTAGACAAAAACAAAGGAAATCTGAATAAAGTATGGACTTTGGTTAATAACGATGTATTGATAGTGGTTCATTAATTGTAACAAATGTATCATACATACTAATGTAAGATGTTAATAATAGAGGAAACTGGGAGGGGGGAGTATATAGAAACTTTCTGCACTTATTTTTCTGTAAATCTAAAACTGTTCTAAAAACTAAAGTCTATTAATAAAAGATAAAATGTTGAGAACCATCGAATTTGAGAATATGGCATCCACACAACTTCAGCCACACCTCACCTTTCTGTGGGACAGGATCCAAAAAAGAAATCTCTGCTCTTGAAGAGGACACTCTCAAAAACTGGTACCAAAAATACTTCTCAAGTTAATAATAAAAAATAAGTCTTTACATTTGTGTATAGTGTCTTATCATTTACAAAACACATTTATATACATTTTCTCATGTATTTTGGGGTTTTTATTTACTTAGCTATAGAAATGACATGATAAAACAAGTAACTTCTCAACCCCAGAGATGAATTGCTGACCTAAGATAATTAAAGGCAGGAATTGAGATTCTTAAAATATCATCTATTCTGGCCTGTCAAGACAATACCTACTGTATCCTCAAATCTCCTTGTCTATCAAAATTTATTCCCTTCTGGTTCCTCTCAGCCAAGTGGTAGAAGGATTTTGGAACAAGTATTTGAGGTGAAATGGTTAAAAACTGAGTAATGACATGGACCTTTGATACATTTTTTAAAATATTTGATTTTACAAGTAGCTCATCAGTTCTGGTAGCACTCTAACCACCCAGAACTCAGAACCCCGGTGCACACAAAGAACAGCAAGTACCAAGAAACTATTTCTAAAAAGGTCTTGCAAACAAAAGTGATTGGCTATTTTTTCTTTCTGTAGATTGGAACTATATAAATACTTTGGCCTTCCTCTAGAACTTTAGGAATCAATTCCTCCCTGCCACTTTGGCCTCTGCAGTCACCTACACAGGTGGGCTGTTCCCTATCATTTTGAAGACAGGTGTGGTTTGGTCCACCTCTTACCTCAAATGTTTTAATGTTTTAAGCTTTTCATCTTATGTTGACACGTATATAGCCTCATTCTCCTCTAATGCCTTCATATTTATCAAGTACTCTGTGTAGGTCAATATGTTTTGCCTTCAGAGAGCTTGTGGTCCTGGGCCGGCCCGTGGCTCACTCGGGAGAGTGCGGTGCTAATAACACCAAGGCCCCGGGTTCGGATCCCATATAGGGATGGCCGGTTCGCTCACTGGCTGAGCGTGGTGCTGACAACACCAAGTCAAGGGTTAAGATCCCCTTACCGGTCATCTTTAAAAAAAAAAAAAAATTAATTAATCTGCTTATTTTTTCCCTGGGAGGCAATATTAGATCAATGATTTTCATACATTTTTGAAGTATCTCACATTAAGACATATGTTTTACATTGTGACCTAGTACATATATACACATATAACTGAAAAATATCATGAAATAATGTTTACTCTCTACATGTTCTTGGCTAATTTTCTGTTCTATGCTGAAATCTTTAAAATTTGAGCTTATGGTCCAAAAGTTGTACATTAAGTGTCATAGAGTTCAGCAAATGAAAAAATTACTTGGGAGAAAGAAGAACTAGAGAGAACTGTTTAAAGGACACTTTCACCAACATTTTCACCTCCATGACTTCCTGCACACACTTCTCTTTACCTTGAGTACTTTTCCCAATATCTCCCTCTCCCCAATTCCTACTCATCCTTCGGTTATCACTTAAAGAAGTTGTCTTAGTCTGTTAGGGGCTGCTAAAACAAAATACCATAGACTGGGTGGCTTAAACAACAAACATTTATTTCTCATAGTTCTGGAGACTGGAAAGTCCAAGATCACCAGAAGATTCACATCTGGTGAGGGCCCACTTCCTGGTTCATAAACAACCATCTTCTCACTGTGTCCTCATAAGGCAGAAAGAGAGGGAGAGTTCTCTGGGGTCTCTTACAGGAGCACTAATCCCAATCATGAGGGCTCCACCCTCATGAGCTACTTACCTCCCTAAGGCCACACATCCCAAAACCATCACATTGGGAAATCGGGTTTCAACATATGAATTTAGGGGGGACACAAACATTCAATCCACTGCAGAAATCTTCAGGAAGCCTTCCCTGTCTGCTCCCATCCCCAGCAACAGTGGAAGTACTCTTGCCTGTTGTACTGTATTGAGAATGTCCCCCCAAAACTCACTGAAGCTTGAATTGTCTCCCCAAGTTTTATGTATTAGAAACAGTCCCAACTGTGACTGTTAAGAGGGTGGGAAATCCTATTATGGTAATTGAAAGGTGGAGTCTTGAAGAGGTGATTGGATTGTAGAACCATGCAGTAGTGAATGCATTAAAAATGGTGGTCAGGGGCGTGGTTCTGAGGGCTTTAAAAGGAAGGAGAGTCTGTCTCTTTGCTCACTCTGCTCTGCCATTTTTCACAGTGTAATACTCTGCCATTACTGTCACCACCACGGAGAACTTCACAAGCTGTGTTCCCTGGACTTTGGACTTCTTTGCCTCAGAAACTGTAAGCAATAAATTTCATTTTCTTTATAAATAACCCAGTTTCAGGTATTTTGTTATAAGCAACAGAAACAGACTAACCCACCTGTCCTCCTGTTGTACCCTATTCTTCCCCATTACTTAATTGTTATAGTTAATTGTCAGTCCTACCTACCTAACTGTAAGCTGCATGGGGTCAAAGATCATGTCTTATATTCTCAACTGAATAGTGCTTGCTACATACTAAGCGTGCAAAAGATATTTGCTGAATAATTGAAATAAATGAGAGGAATTTTTTTTCGCTATCTTCAAAGGATGAATGGGATTCGGGCATGTGGAGAAGGAAGGGTTAAGAGCATTTTGGAAAAAAGATAACATCACCCAAAAACATGTTATATAAATTGATACTTCACCCCTAAACATTACCTATGAAAAAGATGCCTAGAGCAGCCCTCATACATAAAAAATGGGAAACAATGGGAGAGGACAGACTTGGCAGCTCCAAATTCAAAGTACCTAGAACAGTTCTCTTTGATCAGTTTAAAGGGGATCACTAATCTGAAGCCCATGGGTGTGTCCAGGAACCTGCCACATAGAAATTGTAATAAAATTAATGCTGTCTCTGCCTTGAGAGACAAGAAGCTTCCTGAGGGAGGAGATTTCATC